ATTCAGTCTTTGTTCTTTCACTGTTATGTTACTTTGTTAATTCATTAATTTCAACAATTTTTGAATTAACGAGAACACTATCTACAAAAATAATTAATCAAAAGCAAATTACATAATTTATTTAGTATAAACTATTTATCTTCAAAGGATTTTCCTTTCTCTCGGATATTTATCACAGACTGCAATATCTTAATGCGTCCACCAATTAATTTATACAATTTCTTTGCTTCTGCTTTAGCATGTTTATTCAGCTTTTCTACTTCTACAGTACCAAGTTTATTCAGTTATCTGCTTCTGGAAGGAAGAGCTTGTGCTTATTGATCAGGTAATCTATTGATTTCTCCTCAGTAAGGTTGACAATTTCTGTCATCTCTGCACTTGACCAGAAACTACAATCCCGATCCGTCAGTCACACTTAAAGCCTTTTGGCCAAGTAAGGTTTCATCAGCACTTATCACTCATTCTTCTTGGAATTGATCCTTCACTAACGACAAATATCACAATATACATTTAATCATCAGCATATTCCTTAGCATTGTCTTGAAGAATATCAACAATTCTTGGATGCATTCTATCGAGAAGACTGATGTTGTCAAAACAAGAACCGGTGGTTTTCCATACTTCACCTTGTACTTCGGCAGCACGCTCAAAAGCTTTTAAATTTTTTGTCCACACGAAATTAGGTATTTCTATAAAAAAGAAAACAGTGAACAAAAATGATGGCTGTCAATAATAAAGCAGTATTAATGAAAATTTTACCATTAGTCGATTTTGGATCCAAGATTTTCTCATTCATTCGCGTTGCAAAAGATTTCTTTCCTTAAAATTGATAGATTCTCCAATTATCTGACCCAACCGATCCAAATTATCTAAATCCCTAGGAATATTAATATATATAACTCTCTTGCCAACTTTATTCGCTGCAATCTTGATCAACACAGTTTTTCCGGTTCCGTGCTCTCCACAGATAACCGTGTAAGTACTCTCAGCTTGGCCTGGTTCAAAAATTTTCAGGAAGTCTTTTAGAACTTCAGATCGAGGAACAATATAGTTTTTTGGCACTCTTAAATAAGGTCGACTGCCCTTTTCCAAAGTCTCGTCAACATAACGCTCATTAGCTTTGTTTCGCCACGAATTGTAGCCAAGGTCGAACGATATAAGCCCCAGAAGACCGATAAAGCCAGACACCACATAGTTCGCAGATATCCTGCAAACGCAAACAATGAAAACTCAACCAAGCAAGTGTAAACAAACAACAAGTTACTCATACTGGAAGCCGTTTTGCAGTGTCATTTTTCAGCTTATTCAAGCGGGAGAAAGAAGCAAACTTATCGGAAGAGGGAGGTGGAGGAAACGTAGAGTTTACACAAGATCTCGACAGTAATGGCTAAAATAGGCCAGGTCTTTGGCTTCTCAACACATGACTTGACAGCTGAAGGAATAGTCGATGGGTGAAACGAGATGGAAATCTACGAAAACACTGAACAATCATATGGATCAATATTTAAAAGAAAGACCACAATTTGGAGAATAAGATTGATAGGTTATTAACCGGTATTTTCTTAAGTGGAGAAGGATTTGAAACATATAATTTCAGCTAGAATTACAATTACCTCGGCAACATTGCAATTATACATGGAAAGGTTTGCAAGAAACGGTTCCGCGTGCATTAGATTTAGTTTCTTTAAATCATATACGAAATATGCACAAATTTTATGGAATGTATCGAAAAAGTTGACAGGTAAATAGGCTAATTATGTGTTAAAAAATACAAATCACATCGAGCTGTTCCAGATTTTTATTTTTGAAAATATTGACCGATACGTTATTGAATTATAATCAATAATATAATGATCAAAAATCGGCAATGTGACGGATCTCTAGTTGCGAGGCACTCTTACTTCATAAGTCATTGTTTATATTTCTTGGCATCATGCGATATTGCTAATCGCATTTTCTCTTTGCCTTATAAAACAGTTTCGTAACACTCTTTAGATATTGTTGAAAATCGGGATCTCATTAATCGCAGATGTTTTGGCGTTTATCAGAGAAAAAATATTTTCCGGATGATCAATTAGAAAATTGAATTATAAAATTGAATTATAAATACGTAACTTGTTTAATCATGGGGCTCATTTACAGAATTATGGTAGATATTGATCTGATTTGCCGTTTACAAAGCGAACTTTCCTTATAGGTCCTATAAATACTGTCGATTCTTTTAAGGATAAAGTTAAAGAGAAATTTGCCAGCAATGAGGCCAGAGACATAGAGCTTTGGATGGTAGAGAACCACAACATCTGTGAAGACGAGTTTTTGAACCTCGTTCTTGATGAGAATAATGGCGTGAGAGAACTCAAAGAAGGGGAATTTAACAAATTCTGGACAGGTCAGCCTCTCGAAGGTCATACTCATGTTATCATAAATTCACCATATCTGAATACGAAGCAAGAAATGCACGAATTAATAGAACATCTGAGAATACAGGTTCAAGGTAGGTAGTTATTCTTAGTGATATGCTTTTAAACTACTATTCAAACACATCTTCGGGTAATTACACTTTTTTTTATCTTCCAACATTTCATAAGGAGAGAACACAACTCAATAGAAATTACTTGCGTCTGTAGCTTTAGATCCTATAAGTATATCTTTACAACAGCTATTTGACAAACAACATATCAAACAGGGTGACATATTGTTTTACGAGAGAACTTACAAAGGCGTAAAATTCGAACATCAGTGGGAAGTTTGTGTTATTTACTTAAAATATTATCCTTCTAACTTCGACTTGACATAACTTGGTTTGGATATTATTCTCAGGTTAAAAGTATCTACGACAAGAAGAAACTCTTGGTCGTTCACACTCTTGCTAGCAACAAGGAGGCAAAATATAATAATCTAACTGAGTTTGAACTTAGGATTATCAAAATTGATCCTCGTTTTAAAAATATTAAACGGGCCACCGGTAGTGCATATGATTACTTTTTCAGATGTAATGGTGAGAATAAGCAAGCATTTCTGAGTTAAGAGAACAGTATGCTGCAAATCACAAAATAGTAGTAAAAAACCCGTGAAGTGTGGATGTTGTTAAGCAAAATATATTACGTTTCTAGATTGCGTTCTGTGTCTTGCAGTTTATTTTTTTGTATTAATAAAATGTGAATCTTTTTTGTCATTACTGCTCCGAATGCATGTTTGATAATCCAGGCTAAATGCAATTTTTTATTAAGTATTCAGAAAAAGGATATATAATTTTATGGCGTAGCATTTGTTTCCCGCATGTACTTAGTGAAATTTTAGTGTATTAATAAAAAAAAGACACCCCTTGTCAATTTTTACCGTCAAAATTTTCTATTGTATTTTAAGGAACGTTTGTTGATACAGATTTTCGTGATGCAATCATACTAATGTAATTTTCACCAAAAGTTAATTCCAAATTCGATCCTTGGACCACTACAAATCATAAGTTTCACTAGTTGACCCTTTTATCCACTTCATGTAAAAATCGAACAAAAATTCTAATAAATTTCAAACTTATCTATGCATCAAAATCATCATCAATCGTACGAGGATAAATTCGTAAACAAATAATAAGGTATGATAATAACGCTTAGCTAGATCCTAGAAGAACTTTATCACGTTGCTAATCGTCTTTTCGTTTTTTAGATGTTCAAAATAAATCTTTCTGACAAATTGCTATTTTTGATATTCGCCGAGAATATCTAATCATCATTAGCACGTGTCTCATCGGCGCAGTGAAATTGCGGTGGCTTAGCCGAATAATGTTTCTACATCACGCATCTCAACGATATTTGGCGCAGTATTAGGATGTTACACATGCAAAAGTAGAATTTGTGCTCAATTTCTGATCACATAATAACAAATCAATAAGAATATGCAAATCATATATGTGTTAGCAAATTAATCACCATAAAAAATAATCACAAAGCAGATGTGAAGCAATAATTATCATGTTGAACTTATTATATTTTTGCTCAAACTTTCTAGCATATTCTCGTAAGATATATATAGTACTAAAAATGATCTCCTAAATTATTTTTGGAAAAATAATATTTTGACAAATAATTCGATTTTGCTATATTACTTATATTAATAAATACTTAAAAATTACCTAGAAATACTTGTTTTGATTTGTAAAATTCAATAATTATGGAAAATAATTTCAACTACTAATAAAATAAGTCAAAATAATTTCAGGTTTAATTTTAGCAAGTTAATTTTAACAAATTATTTAATTAGATGATGTCATTTTAGCAACTATTTTTATATAATACTTGATTTATATATCAAAGTTACTATAAAAGTTTCTATAATATAAGAAATGATATGTTAGTTTTGCTATTTTTACTAATAAAATAAAATAAATTTGTTAATAATTGATAATATGTGATTTTATCTCTAAATATAATTGAAGTGATAAAATTAAATTCAGTATCTAATCAAAATTGAGTAATATTGCACAAATCAGATTCTAGATAAAATTATATATTGCTTTAATATTATTTTAAAATTGATCATTAATTGTATGAAAATCTATTATAGAGCAAGTCTTTAGATAATTCTTCGAATCATGATCTTTCAGATTTACATATATATATATATATTAATCAGATCTTGATATAATAGTTATTATTATAATTATAAATATTTATCAAATCACTAGCTTTAATAAATATCATATATCTTGATTTAAGTTATCCAAATCACATATTGTTAAGTTTTTAGATTCAGATCTTCTTTTTAATATTTGAATCTTATATCTATATTTAATAATGATACAATAATAACATAATTAATATTTTTTTCAATACATTCTGATCTTTACTAATAGAAATAATAAATCAGATTCTAAGTCATGAAATCTTGTATAAAAAGAATTCAAAAATCTTTAGTCAATCCTTCTACACTCTCATTAGTAATATCTGTAAAAAAATTAAGAATAAATCATTTAATAAACTTTAATATCTTGCACATTAATTTTGCTAAGATAATAAAAATATTTTTCAGACATAGTGATTTCACTAAGAACAACAAAATAAAACTTACTTATATTATCTATTTCACATGAATTAAAGTTAATTTTAACTTGCATATATGTTAAATTACCCCTACACTCGTGTATTTATACTAACGATCATTTTTTTCCTATTATAGATATCTTTGATCAATGTTTTAGAAATTATTTCATTTTTGATCTTTATATTAATAATGATATTTGCTGAGAAAATTCTTGTCCATCTGATTTTTGTTGTCACATGCTTCATCATATATATCATCAGACAGCAACTTACTGCAAAACTCAATACATGTGTAAAAAGATTAATTATGAATTTTATATCACAAGATATCATATTTATTGTTAAGAAATAGAGAATTCTGATAATGATATATATCATGATTAAAACTATTGATAAAATCATCACCAATTATGAATCTCTTCGTGATCAGTTGAATTAAATAACTGAAATGGATTTCATAGCTCCATTAAGATCTGAACAATTTAATATTTCATCTTTATTTAATTCTTCTCAAAGATCTTCTCACGCTTCTTTCAATGGCTCAAGCCAATTATTATTTTTCAATATTATCTTAACAATCTGGAACAAATTTAAAGTTATTTTTGATAGAATTATAACAAAAAATAATTATTCTTTAGATGAAATATATATTTTAGTATCTGTTGAAATTTATTATTTTGGGGTGAAAAAGATTAACAAGGAGACAGTAAAAAAATTTTATTATAATAATAATATTATTACTATTTTGATGGAGCTTTCAAAATACTCAAAGATATTTATAAAATTTAAGAAATATTCAAAGAGAAACTTCCAATGTCTTAATAATAATTCAAAGTATTAATAATATTTTATGACTATTAGACTGAATATGAATAAATACTAAAAGTACTAGTGACAAAATCACTTAAAGATTGGTAACAGTTATATTTTTTTAATACAATAACTGGACTGCTAAAAAGAGTTCTCAAAATCTCAATGTCAAATATAATATATATATTAAAAATGTTTTTAAATCTTTGAAGTCAGAATATAAGATATAATATTTGTATTATCAGCAATATGAGATTGAAGATGAGTGTATAAACAATGTATTATTAGCAATACAAAGTCAAAGGTAAGTTTATGAGCAATGTATTATTAGCAATATAATCTCAAAGACAGATTTATGAATTATAATAATAATTCTTTTATTTAATATAATATTCAATAGACTTTATTACAATGTGTTCAGAAAGTCTAGGATAAAGATGATAACTTTTATAATGCTCCTGATAATCTTGCTTAAGCTACTATAATATATAATAATTCAAGATCTATATAACTTCTTATAAAGTTATTATACAAGAAACAAGAATACTTTGTCAAAAGAGTATAGAAAGGAGTTTATACTTAACTACCTACTCTATATAAAGTACAAACTACATTTCTTTGAATAATCAAAATTACATGATAACTAATTAGACGTGATAATTGGAAATTACTATCTAAAAGAACTTGTTCATATTTAATTCTAATAATTATGATACATGTTGCTTTTATACAAATTCAAGATATAGTTTTTAGGCTATACAAATTTATATTCACTATATCACTTAAATTCTATTGGTCTAATATCCATTCACTTATTCATTCGCTCATTTATTTGTTCACTTGCTTGTTTGCTCACTTATTCACTCGCTTGATTGCTCGCTTGTTTGTTCGCTTGTTTGCTCGCTTGTTTGTTCGCTTATTTGCTTGCTTGTTTGCTCACTTGTTTGCTTACTTTATATGATTTGATTTTTATTCAATAAGATATGAGATATATATAATCCAATAATATGAAATATTATAATAAAAGATCATTATATAACAGAATTCTTACTCTTAAGATTTTGCTCCATAAAATAAAATATAATACTATAAAAATTATAAAAGATAATATAAAAGAGGAGCGAAGAAATAGTTGTTTATAATAATAATAATAATAACTTACCAATCACTTGTTATAATTGTGATAAAATTGAACACATCGCAGCAAAATGCTTTAACAAGAAAAACAATAATTATAATCAGCGCAATAATAATTATAACAACAATTAATATCCAAATAGAAATAATAATAATAATCATCAAGACAATAATAATTGAAACAATAATCAAAATAACAATCGATAAAAGATCTTTCTGAATACTGAACAGTCTTTAAACTCCTAAATGCACTTCCAGAAGATGAACATGTATTAGCAAATAAAAACTCTTCAAACAAACAATTTTTAGAACAATTATTAATTAACAATGAATAAGAAAATAATTACAAGCAAATACCTGTTGATACTTTTGCACTGTGCTGGAAAAGTGAAAAATAAAGATATTACAATCATAATTAATAATGGAACTATTAGTAATATTATATCCAAAGCATATTTGAACAAAATTAATTGAAAGATTCAAAAGCCAAGCAATATCAATTTAATTGGAATTAATGAAAATAAAGAATAACCACTTGGAGAAGTTATAGATCTACCAATAACTTTAGGAAATCAAAATCTGAATATTAATACGCTAATAATTGAAAAAAGAGATTATGATCTCTTATTAGGAAATATTTGGGCTCATAATCATCAAGCAATTGTAGATTGGAAATAAAAAATTTTTATTTTTTAAATAAATAATCAAAAACAAGAAATATCAGTATCTTGTTTTAAGTAAAGAAATATAATAGAGAAACAAAACAAAAAAATTCTATTTACTCAAAAAGATGATATTGAAATTAAAGTTTATCTTGACAAACAAAAAAGGTAAAGAACCTGAAAAAGTACATAATACTAATATTGAATTTGATCTAAGGTTTCTAAAAGATAAACTATTAGAAGTAAAACCAGAAAAAATAATTTTTATTGATAGTCATATTGCAATAAAAATATCTGAAAACACTTATTGTTAACTTGTATCAAGATCATTCTTAGTGAAACAAGATATTGAAATAAAAAAAGAAACAATTAATGCTGG